ACGAGATCAAAATCAGCTCGCCGACCACCTATCCAAGTTAGGCTTCTCTCGCGCCGCGATTCCGCTGGGGTCTTCGTTCAAGATCTTCTGGCACCATCCATTAAAGAAGATAAGGAAATTCATGAAGTTCCCCCCACCGAGCAGCTGGTATTTACGGTACCTTCGTCGGCCGCCGATTGGAGAGAACAGTTCATCAAGTACCTCACCAGCGCCAAAGTACCCGCCAACAAGACTAAAACCGAACTCCTAATCCATCATAGCAAGCATTATGTGCTGGTGGATGGCAACTTGATGAGGAAAAGTGCCAAGGAAGGGATACTGCAGAAATGCATCACCCAAGAAGAGGGAGTAAACCAGGTCGACAAACCTTTTCGAGCTAGTTTTTACTGGCCCACGGCCATCTCCGATGCAGAAGACCTCGTCCGACGTTGTGAAGGATGCCAATTTTTTGCCAAGCAAATACACGTGTTGGCACAAGAGCTGTAGACCATCCTCTGCTCTTGAGGACCTGGCGGTTCCCGCCGTTGCCACGGGAGCTACCGCCGACCCGCCCACCATCGACGCCAATCGTTTGTTACCACCAAGTCTAGCAGAAGGGGCGGTTGACTCCTCCGCAGGCTACCGAGCGCCCGGGGACTCTGGGATGGGGTCCACCGGCATCTCCTCCACCCTGGGGCTAGCTTTCGGCTGCTCATCATCTGCCCTGGGGCCAGCCTTTGGCTGCTCATCAGTCTAGATGGGCGGGGCCAAATCCTCTGTACGCCTCGCTCTGCATCAGACCAGCTCATCAATCGCCAAAAAAGGATAAGGAACGACGGCAAAGTAACTCCAAGGCAAGGATACTTACGGTTTGGTCTGTCGGTACAATTTCTTGAACCGGCGCTGCCTACTCGAGCCCCCAAGCGCGACCGTGGGGTCAACTCCCGTGCTCTAGGGTGGAGGTCCCACCTTCTCCACCGTCGGCCTCTCCTCTGCCCACCGCTCTAGGACTTCCTCCGCCCACCGCTCTGGGATTCCCTTTGCCTGTTGCTCGGGGATTCCCGTCGCCTGTTGCTCGGGGACTCCCGTCGCCTGTTGCTCGGGGACTCCCCTCGCCCACTGCTTGAGGACTTCTTCGCCTCTCTTCGATCGTACCTCTAGGCACGTGTTGCATGGAGGCGCCTTCATGCTCGATGGAGGAGCCACTCGCACTTCATCGTCATCCGACCACTTGGACACCACGGCGCTCTGCGTCCGAGTGGTCTAGTCACCGCCAAGCGAGATGCCGCCTGGCTTGAGGGGAGCGGCACCCACCGTTTTTCTCTTCTTCCGGGTCAGCTCATCTGCCGCTGCCCTCTTCCCCAGACCTTCTCCGACACCGAGGGAGAACTCTCTGTCCGACCAGCGTTCATGCCTCCGGACTCTGACGAGGCGCTGGCCGCATCTTCTTTAGGCCAAGCCGATGGCCGGGCATCTACTCCCCTCGGCCAATCACCCCTTGGCACACCTAAGAAGTACACCGCTCTTTCCTATGAATGGATCTTTGCATAAGTGAATCAGTTCACTGCTCGGCAATGCTACAGGATTAAAAGTATCAGGAACAAACAATTGAGATAGTTACCTGAGGAGGCGGATTCATGCAGTTAAAGGGTCTCATCTACCCTGACACTCGGAACGAGGCCAATGGAGTGAATAGCTCTATGGCCCGCTCTACAACCTCGTCTCTCGACAGCACCTCTGACCTCTCCCGGGTGCCGTCGGTGTCCCCCTTAAAGTCAAAGCCCGCGTGGGCCCTCTCCTTGCAGGGCTGGATGCGGCGCATTATGAAGCTCGTTGCTACCAGTCCACCGTTGGTCTTCACGCCCTTTATTAGGCCAAGGAGCTCCCTCACTTGCTCCATATCAGCACTGTTTGGCCTCTCCAACAAGCTTTTCTGGCTCTCCAGGATGTGGTCGGCATCGCAGCAGATGGCAGGATGGCTCTGCTTCATGTAGAACCACCTAGCGTTCCACCCCTTCAGTGATGTGTTCAGTGGCACAGTATAGTACTCGCCTGCCATTCCATCACATAGCTAAAGATACACTCCGACGACAACCTTGAAACCGCTGCCGCCCTTCTTCTTCAGCCAGAACAGGTGTCTAAAGAGGTTGAAGTGTGGAAGAATCCCCAAATACGCTTTGCAGAAGTGGATAAAGATCGTGATGTGCAAGATGGTGTTTGGGTGGAGATTGCACAGACTAAGTGCCCAGAACTCCAACAGGTCCTTAAAAAAAGGATGAACAAGAAATCCCAATCCTCGCTAGAAATAATCCTCAAACACCACTACTTCATCAGTGTGAGGCATTGGGAAGGGCTCACCACTGGCTAGCCGCCATTCGGCGGTGACGCGGTCAGGAAGAATGCCCACCTCCACCAATCTATCGAGCTCCACTTCCCCCATGCGCGACGGCACCCACTCTTTGTCACGACTAGCTCCGACACCAGCCTTCTTTGGGCTCACCTTCTTTGGGTTCACAGCTCCCCTCTTCGGCACCATCTCTCAGATCTAGATGGGGACTGGTGGTGGAAGCACGCATGGATGTGAATCTGGAAATGCGAGGGCTAAGGAAGAAGATGAAACTGGCAAAGTGACAAAGGTGGGAGCGCGGGGTTCGGAGGCATAGTTTTAAAGCACTCCCCCCACCTTTTCGCATTCGAGGGTTTTTGGGAAATTGCTCCCATGATTGGCGCTTCTCCGAATTCTCCGCAACAGCAAGGTGGGCTGTTACCTGGGCTTTCGCACAACCGTGGCCCGTATCGCCGATTTATCTCCACAAGTTGTTACAGTTCGCCGAATATTCGCCGACTTCTCCGCCAACCGTTACGGCTCAGTAATTACTACTGTACAGCCGTTACACTAGTTTTTTCTCCACGATTCTGTTTTCTCCAGGATTTCCTCTTGTGGCTCAGGGACTGCGTCAGCATTACATCTCGATTCCTCACCGCATTTAGGATTTTTCTTCAGTTGTCCGCTGTTTCTGACCCTAGCACCACGTGACCACATCACCTACTGTCAGGCTCAGGGACTAAGTGTGCACACTTCACCTTGTGGTGAATGTGCTTGTTCTCATCTTGGGGCTACGCCCGGGGACTGGCTGCCTGCTCGGCTGGTCTTTTACTATTCTTCTACTTTGGACCCTGGCACCACATGACTACGTCATCTACTGTCAGGCTCGAGGACTAAGTGGGCACACTTCACCTCGTGGTGAATGTGTTTGCTTTATTATAGAAGACTCCGCACCTCTTGAAGCTGAAGAAGACTATCTCCTTTTCTCATGGCTGGACTCTAAGTGGGCACACTTGGTCCACTGCGAAGAAATTTTCGATTCTGAACTTGAGCTCCTTACACCCTTATGGCAAGCCGTGCTTGAGTTACACTGCTCGGCGATGATTCACGCTGCTCGGCGATAGTTCTCGCTGCTCGGCAATGGTTCACACTACTCAGCAACTCATCATGGTGGTCGGACCATGAGTTTGACTGCTCGGCTTTGTTCGCACCTGCTCGGACAAGCTCAAGACGGTGTTGCACAACGGGTACAAGGCGCTCGGGGACTAGCTGTGGGGGGTACGACCCCGGATACCCATGGTAGACCACATGGGCTACGGCCCTAGGGGTGGCCCAGCCCACAAGATGAAGCCTTACGGGGCACGACTCTGCCCGATGCCTCCTGCAGGACACCGGGAAGATATCCTGAAGATACTATGAGATATGTTAGGATACGTATGATCCCAAGATTCATGTAATCTGTTATTACTTTCCAGTTATCTCTTAGATCTAACCGACTTATAACCCTGCCCCCAGACTATATAAGGCGGGCAGGGACCCCTCCAAATTCATGTAATATCATACGATAGCCAATACAAACCAACAGACCACAGGAGTAGGGTATTACGTCATACTAACGATCTAAACCTATCTAACTTGTGTGTCTCTGTTGCCTTCTTGTTCTTGATTACACGCCTCTCTGCCGATCAATCTACCTTCGTGGGATACCCCTCGGAGGACTACCGATGATATTCTGTCGACAATAGTTGATATTATATCGAGATTCGATGGTGAGTTTTAGTGCTATTTTAGATGATAATAATAACATTGTTGCCGAGAATGTCTAGTTTATCAACATTTGTCTTTTCATAACTACACAAATAGCTACGTATTTCATGCCCGAAAGACATATCTTATGTTTACTTGAATGACTATTGTTATGGATGATTTTCCATTGACCCAAACATGGCATAAGATATGGATTGTATGTAACCCATCGTGGCAAGATTCTAATCACAGCTTAAAATTTATCATGTTGCATCATGCCAAAAGATTGTGTCATGAGAGGCACTAAAATGGCACATCCCAAGTCCTAGCTTTAGGTAGTAGACGACAATGTCATACCAGGCTACCAACAGCCAGTAGTGAAAAACTCAACCCTAGGATAACATCTCTCTCGATAACATATCTCCCGAGTTATATTGACAAACACACTATGAATCTTAGTCATTCAAGATGTGCTATTAACGACGTGGACATGACCACATGTTATGATGCAGCCATTAGTGGACCATGTATTTAATTGAAAATATAGCATAGGAAGTGGCCTTTTTTAAGGTAAAATAGGGGAATCGAACTCCCCGTCTGTAAATTATGTTTCTACGTTCCTACTATTGCACTAACTTGTGTTTTATTATACATTAGAATATTAGAAGTGTTTTATTATACATTAGAACAATAGAAAAATGTCAATTTTATTGTATCCTTTTTAATTGTGTTCCTTCCACTATAACTTAATAATACACATGGTAAACTACTAAGCTAGCTCTAATGACTAAGATACTAAGCTAACCATCATCTCCATCAAGTAAAGTGTTGGGTTCAACTAATAACCATCATCTCCATCAAGGAATGGTACTTCTTCTGCCTGTGGGGGAGGAAGTACAGGAACAACATCAAACCCAACAGGGTCACCGGCTCCGGCTTCTGGAAGGCCATGGGCATCGACCGCCCCATCCATTCCGCCACCTCCGGCCACGCCGGTGACCTCATCGGCCTCAAGAAGTCACTTGTGTTCAACCGCGGCAGTGCTGGCAAGGGCACCTGGACGGAGTGGATGAAGCATGAGTTCCACCTCCCGCCGCGCGCCGAGAGCACCCACACTTCGCCCAGCGAGCAAGAGGTAGAGGTGTGGACCATCTGCCGGTGTTGGCGCAAAAATGTGTCAATGCGCCTGGCACACAACAAGCTGGAAGGATCTGCTTGATGAAACAAGGCTGGAGATCTGCTTGGCTTCAACGCAGGACCAGCCGATCCTATGAATTCCCAAAGGTGTGCCAGTCAATTTAACCTGCAATTGACAAGGGGAGAAAGTGTATCAGTAATTTAAGGTGGAACATGCCGGTCTTGCCCAGACAGAAGCAGCCAGACGGGAAAATCGACTAAACAGCCGATACACGGAGAAATCGGCTATTAAGGAATGTAAAAGCTCGTGGGTTGCGATTGATTTTATGATAACAAGTACAATACACGCAGATGTAAGTAAAATCATCGGCTAGGTGGATATTACTAGTGTAAAGCATTAAGCCGATGATTCTAACGAGAAAGGATATAACATGCGAACAAATCGACTGTCTAGTACATATGGATCAACAAACGCTCTGAATCTAATCTGTTACTATCAACAGTGAGGTTCGACCGGATCGATGGCAACTATGATGATAATAACAAACTAAAACCAAAGAATCCATAAAACCGTCTATACATTGACGGTTTTCTAAAAGACATGCTATATGTATGAAAGCACAAGCGAATCGGTTAAAATAGCCAATTCAGGTAGAAAAGGGACTACAGCATGTGAACAATCGACTATTTAACATGGACAGATCTATGAACTCATCAGACCTAATCTATTATCTTTAATAGTGGGGTTCGACCGGATTGATGGCAGCCATGATAAAGACAACAAATCAACCCTTTAAAATAAAGAGATCTATTCACATTTAACAGAATCATGGAGACACATTGTAGGCATTAAAGCATAGGCGATCGGCTTTTTAGACGATGCGGGCATAACAAACAGCCAGGGTCATGCCCGGTCCAAAGCAAATCTACCAGCTAGCATCCTCCGATCTAAAGTACTAACAGTGGGGATCTACTGGATCGATACTCCATAATAGTGAGCTATGGACCATATTCAACTAGCTAGTAAACCTTCTCAAGATCAGGCATGCCTTGACCGCGTACTATGCATGACCAAGATCGAAGCAGAACGGCCGATGAAATATAATCCGTCGTTTAAAGTAAGGACCGTCGCAATGTAACAAAATAAACGATGGATTAAAAGGAAGTGAGGCCCGTCTAGATCGATCTCGATCGGGCAGGTTCATATTACTGAAAACTAATGACAATAAGAACATCAGCAAGATCGGTAACTTAATGAATCTACCAGAAGGAGGCCACCCTTAGGTAGAGCCGATAACTTGAGCTTAATCTAATTTGAGCAGTGGAGGTCGAACTTAACCGATGCAGCCGTACTTGAACTAGATAAGGATCGATAATTAGCTTTTGCTAGAGCTCACAGTGTAGGTCAAACTTAACCGATGCAGCCTTACGAACAGAAGTATAAGCCATGACGGTACTTACAGACAAGCCGAAGGTCGCCCCGACCGATGCAGCCCTGCTTGTTGAAGAACTCGCCGAGATCTACACTACTCCTACTCCTAAGGGTTGGTGTGAAGCCAAAAAAAGTAATTGGTATTAATTGATTTGATGTCCTTTTTACAATAGCTGGGGTCCAATATTTATATCCGGAACCTAAGCATGAATCCTACTCAAGTATGACTCATTACAATCTTTGGTATAAGAGAAAAACATTCCTAACTTAAGACAAGTTGGACCCTAATCTTTCCCTTTTTGTAGAGTCCGACATGTCTTTCCCGACGCCAACCATAGCTCATTGACGTTATCTGCTGATGTCATCCGAACAGAGCCGATCCCAGTGCCGCATCCGAATCAGGTGATATCGATCCTTATGCAATCGATTCCTTGATGACTTAATCTTGGAAGTTTCAAGTTCTCACGTTCTTCTTCCCAAATTTTGGTGTAAACACATGGCCCCCCCAATTTTGGGATAAAAATAATTTTATTCCAAAATTCCTATTTGCCTGTTCACCATTTCACAACCATTTATTCCGAGACATATGCGTGACTCCTAACTTCTCGGTCCAAGTTTTATATAATATCCCAACAGTATGATTTCCAAACTCACTCGGTCTATTCGCTTTCCCCTTCTTTCTCGAGCAAATCTCAACAGCCGACGCTGCCATCGCCAAGGCCTCAACCGTAGCAAATCCTCTGCTCTATCAAGCTGTTATTCAAGCAACCTTCCACAGATTCGGATCTATTTTGGCTGCAATGGTGACCAACGACCACGTCCCTAAGGTATGATTTCAAGCTCCCATTTTCCAAGTATCAGCCGTTACCCTGCATTTCCTTTCTTCTCAAATTTAGTTCATCTGGTTTCTAGAAAATGAGGAATGAAATTTTGATTCCATCGGTTGTTGCTCCCAATGTCTATTTTCTTGGGTCTATGGGTGACCCTGATCCATCTGACTTTATCCGTCAAGAAACTAGCCGAATCCCCTTCAAACAATCTATAGTGGATTTGTCCTCCTGGAACACCAAAACTTCTTTTAGAAACTGGCCCAAAATGTCTAGGGGATAGAGAGATTGGTTTCACAGGATATCGGGGAAAAAGGCTGGAGATTGGGAGATTTATGACTTGAATTAATGCTTGACACTCTCGTTGTCTGGAATAGAGATGAATGATTCACTCCTGATTTATGCATCTTATTTCTGGTCTAACACCCTAAATGCTTTTGTTTTTTGTCACGGCACAATGACCATCACTTTGGCCGATGTTTATATGTTGATCAGCCTTAGAATAATAGGATCAATGCAACCTTATGACTTCTTAAGTGCCGGATCCAAGAAATTAGCTAAAATATCATACTGCACAGGATGGGCAAGCTATATTCTGAACCATATTGGAGACGGATCAACTGTTAGCGAAAAAGAATATGTGACTTTTCTGAACATGTGGTTAGAAAGATTCATCTTCTGTGGTTCATCTTGTGGTCCGACTTACAATCATAAACTCATGGTAGAGCATCTGGCAGTAAGCATTGAAATTCCTCTTGGAAAGTATCTGTTGGGATTGGCTTACCATTTGATGTATCAGGTGGCCGCTCAACTGCTGAAGAATAAAGCAGTGCATACCATCAGCGGCCCTTGGTGGCTAATACAAATGTGGTTAAATTTGTATATGCATAAGATTGTAAGGCCAAATCTCTAGAATTTGAGCTTTCCCTCCTCCAACTTTGATGAGGAATACAGAGGCGAAGAAGGAAGAACCCGTTAGTGCATGAACTATGGTGAAGCTGCATCGGCTATAACAAGTGTTGTCGATATTGGCAATCTCTTCAAGATGTTTTTATAGAGGGTTTGATGCAGATATTCTGACTTGGCTACCCTATGATGAGGATGAGAACAATGAGTTGGTCTTCCCATTCAAATTCCGATTTGAATCAGGCTGCTCAAATGAAACGACAGCTGCAATCTTCAATTTCTTCATTAAACCCAGATCCTCCTCGCCGAATTTCATCATGGCCATGGCAAAATGCCTATAGGTTCCTTCCTTCCAAGCAACCTCCCAACCTATGAGTTTTATAACCCTTCATTTGTAGCTCGTCAGTTTGGTCTTGGTCAACTGCCTCCTCAGCTATTCTTCAAGAATACACTAAAGCCAAGAGAAGGTATTAGTGAAGTGATGGAAGCCTCCAGAGTCTTTCAACTAGGATTAGATCTTTGTTCTTTTTGCTTGCATGACTCGACAAGAGTCAACTTCTCTTCCAGCCTTTTTGACTCCTGGTGGTAAGAATGGGACTCCCATCTCTTCTGTGGGTCAGTCCATCCTAGATGCATAGCTCTGGATGGAGATTTTGCTTCTGACAGTGAGGTAACTTACCATTCCCTTCTTTAGAAAAATTATTTGGTAAATTCCCCTGCCAACTGTTCTAACAGGCCTTTTTAGGACACCAAATTCGATCCCCCAAGCAAGGACAGGAAGGGGCGTCCTATAGAGTATCTGTCGGCACGAAAAATGTTGACACACAGCAAGCTGGAATGATCTGCTTAGGATGAGCCTAGAGATCCGCTTGGCTTCAACGCAGGGTTAACCGATCCTACGAATTCCTCCCGAGGAGTGCCAGTCAATTTGACCTACAATTGATAAGGAGATAAAGTTTATCATTAATTTAAGGTGGAACATGCCGGTCTTTGCCTAGACAGTTCCAAGTGTGCCGCTTCGGGAGCAGCCAGATGAGAAAATCGACTAAATAGCCGATACGCACAGAAATCGGTTGTTACGGACAGTAAAGCTTATGGATCGCAATTGAAATTATGTTAAAAAATACAATGCCTATAGATGTAAATGAGATCATCATCTAGGTGGATATTACTAGTGTGAATCGTTGAGCCAATGAATCTAATCGAGAAAGGATATAACATGCAAACAAATCGATTGTCTAGTACAAATGGATCTACAAATGCTCTGAATCTAATCTGTTACCATCAACAGTGAGGTTCCACTGGATCGATGGTAGCTATGATGATAATAACAAACTAAAGCCTGAGAATCCATAAAACCATCTACACGTCGACGGGCTTTCTGAAAGACACGCTATATATGTGAAAGCTCAAAGCAAATCGGCTGAAATAGCCGATTTGGTCGAAAAGGGACTACAGCGTATGAACAATCGACTATTTCACGTGGACAAACCTATGAACTCATCAGACCTAACCTGCTATCTCTAACAGTGGGGTTCGACCGGATCGATGCAGCCGTGATAAAGACAACAAATCAAACCTTTAAAGTAAATAGATCTATTCACATTTAACAGAATCATGGAGACACACTGTTGGTGTTAAAGCATAGGCGATCGGCTATTTAGTCGATGCAAGCATAGCAAACAGTTAAGGTCATGCCTAATTCAGAACAAATCTACTAACTAGCATCCTCCAATCTACAGTGCCATCAGTGGGGATCGACCGGATCGTTACAGCCATAATAGTGAACTATAGACCAGATTTAACTAATCAGCAAACCTCTTCAAGATCATG